ACTCCAATGTGGCTGTTGATGAAAGCGATGAGCTGCTTGGATTATATGCTCGGCTGTTTGGCGATCCTTCAGAGGATCAGGTGAAACGCCATCTTCACACTGCATCTCCCGCTCCGCCGATGAGCTCAGCTGGTACATTCAAAGGTAGCATATTCCGGTCGAGATCGACGCGGAAGAACGCGGAAGCAGGGGCCGCCGTCGCAAAAGAACCATCAGAAACCAATTCCAGGCCATCAACTGTAGCCACACAGAGAACTGCGGCCACGCAAGCAACTGCAGCGCCGACCATTCAAGTCACGGATGAAAACGGCTCAGAGAAGGCTAACGGTCATCGTCACAAGCTTCATTTCAAACCAGACCTTCGCCATAACCATGACAGCGACAAATCGGCACCGAAGAGGGGTGGAAGCGTCAAGCTACAGAAACGGAGCGCTGGGAGTCTGCGAAGGCAGTCACAAGCGGATGAGGACAAGACAAATGAGAAATACGAGCTTGACGGAGCTCCAAATGGGAAACCTCATCGGAACAACTCTCAACGAGAGAAGTCAACTCACCGCCCTTCAATGTCCAGCTCAATCAGGAAATCGACTGAGACGCCAGAGCGACCACTACAGCCAGTGGCTCACAATGCACCCAACACCGTGCAACCTCCGCCGGTGGGACATGCTAAGCAACCTCCTCAGCAGGACAATAGGCTACCAGCCCCTTTCCCACACCCGAATTATACACCTCCAGACCCTCGCTTCTCTATATTACAAGAACGCCGACAGAAGGTTTCATTGTTGGTCAAGGTCTGGCTATTCATTTCTGGACTCTACACAAGGTCGGCAATGTATGAAGATGCTAAGGGAGCCATAAGAGAAGCAGCCAAGCTTGTTCAAGGCCTGGAATACGAAGTCGCGCAAGAGTCGTCGAGCGCGAAAGCCTTTGCAAACCAGGGCTGGGGTGGTGGCAAGGGTGTGGAGGAGTTGTGGGCAGACACATGGGCGAGTGTAAGTGAGACTGTACGCGAGCAAGAATTGACGGTTTCTGACGCATCTCTAGCAAGGTGAAATGCTTCAAGCACAAGACTCACCGCATGAGGCTCGAATTGAATACGAAAAAGCGCTCTCACATTTCCCAGATCACCCTACCGCAATCGTCGGATTATCAAACATCCTTCTAGATATCTTTGGCCAAGTTATACCGCCGGAACCAACTCCAATTTCCGGTTTGACTTCGCCATTGACCTCTCCTTCTGTACCGGCAATCTCCACGACGGAGGTCGACACAAAGAAGACACACATCATATCTGCAGCGCCTTCAGCGGAGAATCAAGTGTCTGCTCCGGAGCTTTACAGGCTTGCCGCTCGCGATCGAGCTCATGGCTTGCTCTCAACGCTCACCAAGCTTGGTCCTGGATGGGACTACTCTGAAGCATGGCTTGCTCTTGCCAGAGCATACGAGGAGTGTGGCCAGATCGAAAAAGCCAAAGAGGTTTTGTGGTGGTGCGTCGAGCTGGAAGATTCGCATCCCGTGAGAGAGTGGAGTAGTGTAGGTGTGGGCAAGTTTGTTTTATAATCTCAGTAAAGCGCATGAAGTTGCCTTGGAGAAGAGCGGAGATACCCAACATGCAGGACGGTTTGGATCAATGCATATATGGCTTCAATGGCATTTTAAGATTCAATTCGCTCTATTTGGTTTTCGTCGCATATGTCAAATCTTGCTCACTCAGAGCTCCCCGTACGGACATCCTATCTCCACCTCCAAATCGCGCCAACGCAGTGCTGGGTCGTCTTCAATGGATCTCCAGCAGAGATTATTACAGCGTTGCTATATTTTGGCGGTAAGAGACCCACGGTCATGCGCCGCTTTGGCCATGCACGGGCCAACTAGGGTGAACTTGGTCATTGTTCTTACCAATTCTATTGTGCGTGTTGAATAGCACACAGTGGTGAGTCCATCGGCGGTAAGAAGCTGTCTTCTCGTTGCCTGTTCTACAGGCAATGGTCGTGACAGTGAAGGGGTGGCTTCCACTTCACTCAATTGTGGGACAATTAGACCCACTAACCTATTCAAATCAGACTGTTTGGCCCGCCTTCTCCCAGTAACTACAACAACACCTTCAGACCATCTTCTAGCAATTACAACACTTAAATTGACCTATCCACAATGGTGGATTCAGCTACCCCTGAGCTCGCAAGCGTGCGGCAATGGCTTCAAACCGTGCCAATCGCAATCCACTCTCTCGACGAATTTGCTAGAAGTCGTCCCGCCAGCCCCTCCACCCCGCCTACGCAAACAATCGACGAAGATCTGTCTGCTTCTTACTCAAACACCACGGACCTGAGTTATTTCGACCTAACAGTCTCCACAACGCTCAATGCTTCCCCCCTGTCTTCGTCAACCAGCCTGTCCGGATATCAAAGTTGCGTCGCATCTCTTCAACCGACACCCTGCAAAATCCTTCAAGCCCTTGCATTTGACACCGAAGCCGAAGACGAAATTTCAGCTCCTATCAGTCACGACGAGGTGTGCGGCTCAACTGCAGATGGCTCCATGGTTGAGCCCGAGGTTGTTCGCAAAATTGGAAGCCGTTCCGCCCTCGATAATACGACCAACAACAAGATAGAGTCCCTCAAGGTCCTGTTGGTGACGTCGTGTTTACACTGCGTGCTCGCGAAGCTCCCCTGCTCTCGCACTTTGCCGGCGTGCACGCGCTGCATTCGAAATGGCAGGTCGTGTCTGCCACAGCGACGTAGGACGAACACGGAATTAGTGAGGGGAGATCCTATTGGTAACGCGCTTCCAATTCCGTTGTACCTTCCAGATGAGGATGCGGAGACTCGTGCAAGCAAGGTGGCGCTGAATAATGAGGTGAGTGAAACGCACAAGTCTACCGTTTTTGTCGGTGGCATTGGCTAATCTATCTACAGTTGATGGACTCCTGGAAGGACGAACTAGACAAGAAAAACTGGGTCTTGCCTACCCAAGGCAGGATCAGTGGGTTCCCACGACGGTGGTGGGTGAAGCGCTCGCCTCGCCACCCTGGTGAGGGAATTGGTATCGTTACCTATCAAACTGTTCGTTATCGGAGGCTAGGATGAGCAGATACTTGGACAAGAGCTGGAAACACACTATTGGATCGGTGGAAGAGGTAGCTGGACGTCACATCTGGAAGCCAGCGTGACGAAAGATTGGACCGGACTCGAACGGACGGTGATGAGACGACTCTACACGCCGCTGGACGGCTGGAGCTGGGAGTTTGGTTAATGGACCAGCGCTCGAGATTAGGATCACATATACAGGGTATTTGGAGACCGTATGGGAGGTGATTTGAGCTTTCAAGGAATCTCAACTTTGCCACCTACTCTGATCAATATTTTGAGCTAGATAATGGATCTTTCTCCAAAAAGCATTGCCACTAAATCTATCATGCCGACTTTGGTGACCGTACTCAGATTATAAAAGGTCTCATTCAGAATCCCAATTCGACACCTCTGCTTTTCCTACTATCAAGCTAACGCTAGATCTGATCCTTCGAGGGGCTGAGCTCGGCGCTGATTAGCTCGGGGATATTACCAAACGCTTTGATGACTTCAGCCCAGACCTTCCGCCTCAATCCTTCTCCTTCAGTCCCAGATACTAATGGTGCTGGCCTAGGTATATATCAGCTGGCATCGAAGAGTGTGGAAGACAATGAACGTACGGCCTGATCTCATCATGTTGCCAGAATCTCCCATGAGCCTCTTTCTCCAAAGTGACACCACTTACCAAAGACCTTGCACCCTGCTCTGTAATCCTCAGAAAAACAGTATTCAAGACACTTTTCATCATCCGTATCCCCAGTCCATCATACCCTCGACTAAGATCCGACTTCGCAGCGCCAGGGCAAACCAATGTGACGAGCACCTCCGGCTCTTCATCCTCGGATCGAGCCAACATAGCCAAGCTCTACATGACATACATCGCAAAGAGCTTTGACGTCTTATACTGCGCGCTCGCGTCGTAATCCTTGAGTCCGTTGTATGACGCCAAAATCTTCTCCTTCCCTCTCTTCTCCTCAGGAATCTGAATCGTCTCATGATTCCCAGACGTTACGATTTCCAGCACCGGCAACACGTCACTCTTTCTTCTCGCCTTCTTCAACACCGGAAGCAGTAGCATCCCTAGCAACGCCGTCGAGATCACGTTGACCTGCAGTGTCTCCTCCCATCCATACTTCGACTTGTCATACCGCACCTTATACACGCCCGCATTCAGCACTGCGACATCCAGCCTTTCTAGCTTCGCAGCTTTCGTTGCAAACCTTCTCATGCTTTCATAATCGCACATATCAAGCTGCCATGACTCTGTCTTTCCTTTTACTCCCGTCCGTTGCTCGATGAGCTCTTTAGCGCGGTTGCCCTTGGTAAGATCGCGCACGCCCAGAATCACACGGTCTGCGCCCAGCGCGACAAATTTGATTGCAGCCTCGAACCCCAGGCCAGTGTTGGCGCCGGTGATGAGAACGTTTTTTCCAGCGAACGAGGTGGTGGGGTTGGCAGGGGGTGTCCAGGCCTGAGTGAGGAAACGGAAGGTGCGGGAGGCCATGGGGAAGAGTGCTAAAGCTGAACTAAGTAGGGCAGGGAATATGATTTGAGATTTGATTGATAGGCTGTAGCTTTTCTTTCATATGTGAGGTTTTCGAGGTTAGGATCGATAAATGCCGATATGTCCGATCGAGCATTCTGGGGTTGTTGGCCTATCAGCGTGGGTATACGGTTAATTCGGCTATCACGACCAATTTCCTGTTTAGGTAGTCTAATAGCGCGGAATTTACTACAGAAAATCTACAGACCTGCTGCAACACCACCAGAAGTCGGGCCGCGGTGGAGATAACTAAGAAAAGAACTATAGCATTACCTATTTTATTATTATCGCTAATGTTAGACCGTTTGCGGTGGAGCTACATCTCCAGAAGTTTATGAACTATTAGTTGAATGTCATTAATGTCCGAAAAAAAGATCAAAAAAGTTTGCTGACAACAGTGGGATTCGAACCCACGCGGGCAAAGCCCATGAGAATACAACCTCTTGAAGAGGTAAGCCTAAACTTGAGTCACACGCCATAACCACTGCTGAATATTAACGGGTGAACACCGTCGGGTTGTGGAGTTGCTTACCTCGGCCATGTTGCCAATTGAAATAATTTGGGATGCGAAAAAATTACAAAATTCATATCCTGAATACAATTTTGTGCGCACCCCGCTTTTCGAGGGTGGGCATTGGATTGGAAGGCGGGCACATGCGGGGCCGCGGCGTCGGTCACGTCATTCCGCGGTACGAACGCTAGTTTTCAAACGACCGACTATCATAACTACCGCCCTCTGGACAGACCTACGGACTACTTGCTGTAAATTAGCTGCAAATAGGGCGGTCTTTAATGGAGGTATATCAAAATGCCCATCAACTGGCTTTGATGGCTAGAAGAGGACTAGACATGGAATGGCCTCACGAAATGGCATCGCAGTGCAATTGGTCATAAACAGCCGAGAGCAGTAAGAACTCTTTATGGTGATGCTCGCTAAGTCAACTCAATGAGTAGCCTTTCATGTCTCATCGAACCCCTCCGTCCTATTAAGAGCCAGCAACCCCGTATGCATAGTCCTCACGTCCCCGAACGGCGTGGTAATCCTGGAATGAAGGACCACCCGCCACTGCTCGCTGTCTTTCCGCACCGAGACACTGCCTGGCGCAAGCAAGCCCTAATTCCCAGTTACAAGTAGCGGCTTCGAGACCCTTTCGTACAGACCTGCGACGTTCTTGCTAGTCGCATATTTCAGGTCGTAGCTTAGCAGGCGGGTGCAACTTGAGCTAAGAGAAGGAAATACACCCCTTCATTGCTGCGTACGAGAGATGACGCTTCCACGAAGGGGCCTTCTGACTGATTACGGTTCAAGATCTCGATAGGGACGCTGACTGGGGTGGCTGCGTCGTCTTCTAGAAGCTGTAGCAGGACCGGCGTACTGGCTTGGGGGGTGCCATACTCTCGCAAATGCCGCTGTGCCTATGGTCATTGCCGTCGACCTTGGGTGGCACGTAGATCTTGCCGTCGATATCATCAATGGCGCCGCCTAGATGGGTTGTGCAGGCGAGAGGGTGTTGAGAGAGGCTTGAAAGGTCCCTGGGGGGCATCCACGATAGCAGCGCCAACACAGTGGTTTTCCGTCGCAATGCCCACAGTAGTAGAATAGTACATCACAAATCTGCCATCGGACAGACGTTGCAGAATGTCAGGAGCCCAGACATTAGCGAGAGGCACACTCCTGGCAACATTCAGAGTCAAAAGTATGCGGATTCGTCATGTTGGTCTCGCTGGCATTCGCAAAGCGCAAGGCCACCTATTCTCATAGGACCGGCAGAGGGTCGGCACTATAGTCATGGAGATCCAATTCAGGAATTCAGCCGACATTGCCGGCTACCTGTACGTTGGCTTTTCCATAGTCATCAACAGTCTCAAATTGCTGTGCGGAAAGGGGCCAGGCCTGAAGGGTACGGTATGGGCTCTCGGAACATCCTGATTAAGAAAACACGGTGGCGACAGCGGCGCAATTGGCCGGTATGGCGAAGAAAACGACGACGCCGAGCACAATGAGAGTCCTCCGCTTGTGGCGCCAGAACTTGCCTTTCTAATCGCGTAGCATGCCCTTCTCTTTCTAGGAAATCGAAGATGTAGCTGAGGATGGAGGCCTGCTGCTTAGTTTAGCACGCCACCGGATAGCTCATAAGTGGAGTATCCACATCGCCCGACCACGTCGCCGCAACCAGAGGGCTCATCTGCTGGTGTTGGCTGGCGCGGATTCAGGCTTGACGGTATAGGAATTTATTGGTCCACAGACCGAAGACAGGCTATTTGTAAGGTGACTGCGGAAGGGAGATAGCAGCACGGCGCAAAGAGGTCGCAATATGTTCGTGTTTCGAGACGAAGTAGTAGCAGGGCGTCACAAAGGGGCAGGTAGACAGGAAGTATATAGCGAGGGCAGGCAGGAATGCCCAGACTCTCCGCAGCGTTTTAAATTGAGAACTAGTATACAGGAGTACTTGTAAGGATTACAATAGCATAAGCGTTATATCCTTACGCATAATAGGCTCAAAAGCCTTCAAACGGGACGAAACCGTGAGCGTTTGAACGTGATACAACAAACGCTGGATAACGTTATAAGAACGTTAGAGAAACGTTTTATAATGCATTAAATGCTGTATATATACAACTCTATTACTATTAATATAGAATAGAACTTAAGCAATACAATTCCTATCTATCTATCTATCTATCTATTCTTATATTAACTCTATACCTTTAAGAGGTTATAAGCTTGGATTGTACTATGCAATCTACAACTATATATAGTACTAACAGGCAGGTTCCCTCTTAAAATTAATAAAATATCGACTAAAATTATTTAAATCAACTAAATATTGGACGAAAATAACGCCGTTTACTATCTTAATTACCATCTCTAGCCTATAAACCTACTACACCACCGTATAAGTAGTTTTAAGCATAAAACAAAGCCAAAATTAAAGAAGAGGACGAAGTTATTAATTATAAGCCCGCCATATAATAGCTAGAACGCAATCTAGAATTATAAATCTATTATAAACAAAATCAGACTAAAGAAATTTATATTTACTATTATAAAGCTTCTATAAGCTTATATTACATTATAAACCACGCAATTAACCTTCTAACGTCTATTATCTATTACGTATTAAATCTGGATACTCTAGATTAGATTATAACCTTTTATCCTATTATCTTATCTAATACAAGAAGATAAATTAATTAAAAATTAAAATATTTCTCTTTCTATCTATCTATCTATTCATTAAATACATAGATACATAGAATTTATCTATCTATCTATTCGCCAAATATATAGATAGATAGAAATCTATCTATTTAATAAATCTATAGATATATAGAAATCCATCTATTTATCTATCTATCTATTTACCTAACAGGCTATCTAGCTATCTATTTAATCTAAAATGGATAAAATCAGTATTACTAAGCTAGTTGGTTAATCTAACTACAAAGTTTAGGCTCTAAGAGTATAATCTCTCTTAGTAGAAAAAAGTTGTAGTAATGCTATTAGCAGTACTACTATTCCTATTAATAAGGAAAATAATATAAAAGCATTAGCCACTATTAGGCTTACTATAGAGGACGGTCCTCTATTATAATTATAGTATTCTACTACTATAATAGAAGCTTAGAAGCTACTAAAGAAGCTATATAGCCTAAAGGGCTTTAGTTCTAAATTCCTTATTTATAAGAAGCTATTTAATACTATTTTATCTAAGTTTTTAACTATAGAAGATTACTTAAATAAGATAAAATAGTTAATAGATTAATTAAAAGCGAAAAAAGCTTAAATTACTAAATTAAGTTATTATAGCCTAGGTTTTAAATAACCTAACAGACCCCTATAATGGCTTTATAATAATGGTTACGTAATCCTATAGGGAAAACTCATCTAATATTAAATTAGATAATTTAATCTTTAATTTAATAGATAAAGCAAGAAGATAAGAGTCTAAAGAGCACAAAACGGCTCTATTTAATAGAACTAAAAAGTTCTTACCTAACAATAAGACTAGAATAGAAAAACAATACTATAAGAAGTGTAAAATAGCTACACACCTTATAAAAGATTATTTCTATCTATTTCTAGAAAGAGCTCTAAAATAGTTTAGAATAAAGGAGTACTTTAAACCACTAAAAGATAATAATAAGAAGGAAGAATCCTTACTTATAGAGGAATCTAACCCTAGATAGGATAATTTTAATATAGAACTAGATGCAGCTAAAGTAAAGGTATTTCTAGCATCCTATTATACCCCTAATAACAAAGCTAATTATATATTAGACTCCGGGAGCACAAGCTATATAATAGTAGATAGAAATCTATTTACTAGTTATAAGAAGTAAGCTATTATATTAAATTAGGGAGAAAATAAAACTACAACTGTAGAAGGTGTAGGAAATATATAATTAAAACTAAATGGGAATATATTTATACTAGAAAAGTGCTTTTTTATTCCTAACTTTAGATATAATCTAATATCTATAAGTAAACTAGATTCTATAGGAATAAATATTATGTTTAAGAATAAAACAGCTATTATATAAAAAAATAATAATATACTAGTAATAGTATTACTTAAAAACTCTTTATACTATATAAATATAGAGAATATAACGCTTTTTACAAAATAAATAGATAAAAAGATAAATTAAATATATAAATAGATAGATAAAAGCGATTTTACAAATACATATATAGATAGAAATAATCTATCTATTTAGCACTAAAGAATAGGCTATATAAGCTCTAGAAAGCTTAGTATACTATTAGGTATAAATATAAAAGAGCCTATTTAATGCGAAGCCTGTATAAAAGCTAAAATAATAAAAAATAAGAGAAGTAAGAAAATAATACTAAAAATAGTAATTCCTCTATAAAAAGTCTCTTTAGATTTAGCAGGGCCTATAAATCCACCTAGTTTAGGGGGTAATAAATATGTTATCTTCTTTATAGATACAGCTTTAAGATATATAGAATATAAACTATTAAAATCTAAAGATAAAGCTTATAACGCCTTTTTAGAATATAAAGCTAAGGCTAAAAATATAAATATAGGAGATAAAAGAAAAATACAAATTTTTAAAACTAATAATAGGGGAGAATATATAAATAAGAAGTTTAAAATAACTCTTTTAAAAACAGGTATAACCCATTAATTCTTAAGCCCCTATACGCCGGAACAAAACGGTCTAGTAGAGTAAATTAACTTAACTATATTTAATATAGTAAGGGCTCTATTATATATAGCTAATTTACCTTTTAACCTATAGAGAGAAGCTGTAAATGCGGCTATATATATATATAATAGAACGCTGCACTCTAGCTTAAAAGATAAAACGCTATTTAAGCTATATTATAAAAGAAAAGCTAAAATAGATAATATAAAAATCTTTGGCTCTATAGCTTTTTATAAGGTTAAAACGTAAATAACTAAATTAAAACCAAGAGCTAAAAAGGCTATAATATTAGGCTATGGTTTAAATGCGTATAGATTATTA